AAAAAAAAAAAAAAAAAACCAACCGTTGTCTCTTTGGATTTAAGCATTCAGCATAACTCGTTTTACGATATTGGGGGTCGGGCCATATGCAGTATCCGGAAGGAGCTAGGGTAATTGTTCACATAAACCTTACTTATAAGAGTTTAATTTGATGTGATGTCTCATTTACTTTATTTATCTATTATTATTTGCATGTATTTAGTACAAGGTCTTCAGGGTCTCACTACACAGATTGGATTCATAGTGATTCTCCTCTCTTCAGCCTCCTAAGCACTGGAATTACAGGCGCACACCACCACACTCAGTCTCAATCGCTGTCTCATTGCACCCCTAGCATGGCACTTGGGGAATGGAACCTAGTCCCTGTGTCTGCCTAAGTGGGCACTTTAATTCCGCTGAGCTATCTGGTCAGCCCTAAAAACTCATTTACTTTAGAGACAGAAAATCTAGAGTAAGAAACTGGCTAAGCCAAATAATGTCATGGGATCTAAAATAATCTTTACATGACTAATAAAATTGTCAGGTCTACTAGGAGTAAAAAAAATTAAATGAAAGGACTGAGAAAAAAATAAGGAATACACAGAAAACAGATCAATAAAAACAATATTAGAAAAATGTCAGAAGTCAGTTAAAGCCAAAAATAGACTTTAATTTTAAACTTTGTCATATCTTTTTTTTAATTAATTTTATTGAGAAACAAATAGCAATGAGACAGTTTTAAAACGGGTTAGTAGGACAGTTTCAATAATTAATACATTGCATATTGTTGTCTTCATAGTGGTTATTCATAGATGCAGACGTGATGTCCTGTCCAAACACTATTAGTACAAATCTTTCTTCTCATTGAATTAAGAGAAAGTAGCTGTATATCTATCCTATTTTGTATATACAGATACAAAATGGTCCTTCATTTATATCCCCCTTTTCTGTTTAGTTTTGTCAGAGATGGGTATTCCATTGCCATTTAAATATTGTAGGTGTGTAAATTCAGCAAAATAATCCAATATAATCCAGTAGCTAAATATATCACAATATAGAAGAAAATTCCTCATTTGGTAACAGTGCCCTTCCTAGTATGTCCTGAGAGAAATCTGCCAAGAAGATCATTCCATCATTGACCACAGATTAATTCTTACAACAACAAAATATCTCACAAAGTGCTTTTGAATTATGCAAATCACCAATTCAATCCTGCTTTGCATACTAATCACAAAGTGTGGGCTCTAAACCAAGAGAGGGAGAAGGAAGTCCAAAGCCTTTAAATCCTGCCAGCACCTCTCCTAGCCAGCCTAGGAGCCTGTGTTTGCAGTCACCATGAAGGCTGTCCTTCTTGTGGGGCTGGTCCTCCTGTCTGGAACCATCCAGGGCAAGGCCTTCCAAAGGTGTGAGCTGGCCAAAGCTCTGAAAACAAGTGAAATGGACGGCTACTGTGGAATCAGTGTAAAGTATTTGGTAAGTTAAATATAGCCTATCCTGGCTCTTCTAAAGTAAGTCACTGGTAACATAGAACTGGCTATATAAAGAGTTACCACAGTAGCATGGACCTGCAAGCTCAGAACTCAGGGGCAGGAAAACTGCCATGATTCTGAGGCCAGTGTGGGCTACTGAATGGCTTCAAGTTCAATCTGAACAACATGGTGAGACCCTGTCTCAAAAGAAGAAATAGAATGACATATAAAGATCTGACTTTGGTACACAGTGTAAAAAATTTAGTGTTAC